TATATTTTATGTTCAATTTTTACCATATTGATACTGCATCACATTTATGATATCAATCCAGCGTTATGCTTACAAGCAGATTTTATTTATGACAGCCTGCAGTTAGTATCCCATTTTCCTAAAATAGTCCAACATAAACTTCACATCACAATTAAAGAAAGATCAACAACATATTTTCTTTCATTAAACATAAATTGGAAATTTTTTACAAATCTTAAACTTTGATAAGTTTTCATTTCCTGTTTCTGAATTTTTAACTTTGAAGTAAGTTGGCTATGTACAAATTAAGAAGACATCTTATGTGTATATGGCTGTCATACTTTTTTGGGCTAGTTTAGAAAACGATCTCAATAAGACATGTTCTGGCTCTAACTCTAACAACTTTATTTCTAAGATTCACAAGGAAATACAGTGTCTAGCTAATAATAAAGCATGTCTGGTAATAAGCCCATCCAATTGTACATAACTGAAACAAATGCTATTTCATTTCTGCAAAACTCCAGCTAAGTCTTTCAATACGAGTTATTATGTCACCCTTCGTGAATGGACAACGATCAAATGTCACTTATTATCTAATTAACCTGAACTGATGTAATTATTGTGCTTTTTAATAATTAATCAACAGCACCTCGTGTTATGCATGGAAATGCCAACTGCCAACATATTTCATTTTTCTAAAACCTAAAGGAAATTGTAGAACCTCACACACTTCCTCTGAGCCAACAAGAGTGATTAAAGTAAGTTGATATCTAAACCTGTTTCACTTTTTTTGTAAAAAAAAAAACAAAAAAAACGAAGATTTCAGAAAAATTAAAAAATATTCCTTCAACAAAGACTGAATTCACTTTCTATGAATAATGAACACTTAGTGGATTATCTGACAGATTCACTACACACTACAAAGCCTACCTGATTTTAATTGATAATTACTGATTGGATTTGAATAGATTTCCTATCACTTGTCATGTCCAAGGGCTTACTGAAGGATAAATATGGTAATGAGGGTTATTTCCCTTTGATTGTGATTGGCATGCAGAAGATTTTCATTAATTATGTCTTCACTGATTAGCCTGTACAAACAGATGGAACCTGAATTAATACAGCATAGCTCCATTGAAAGCCTATGTACCAAGTAATTAACGGCAAATCATTTTGCTTTGAAATTTAAAACGGTATAATGCATTTTAAATGATGTTTTCACAACAATTCTTTTTACGAACATTCTTTTTCGTCATAGACAATTAAATTAATCACACTTAGGTTTGACTGAGGACACATTTCAGAAATTTTGTAATGAACATGTGTGGAATTGGGCAATTAAACGAAAATTAAACAGCAATTTTTTTCAAATTCCTAAACTTCCTAAGTGATGATTTGGATATGCATGTGCAGTAGACGTCATATAAGGATTCACTGTATGTCACATACTTATTGCTGTCACATGGATATTCATTAACCCAAGCATCATATCAATTTTATTATCATTTCTTGGTGTTGTTGAAAGCATTAAGACCAGAAGGCCTTACCTTTTTAAACTGTTTGAAAACAAAAATTCATCGCCTATTAAGGAATTACCGTACTAAAATTGTTAAGGAAATATTGTTAAATCATAAAATTTTGAGGGGATTTATTTTCTGGATCCATGAGTTTATACCTCCATGAAATATGATAAACACATAAAGGTTTACAATATGAATGTTTCTGTATGGATGTATAGCATATATGAAATTTTGAATTATGAATGTTTCTATAAGGACGTACAGCGTGTATGAAACCTTGAATTATGAATGTTTCCATTACAGATCTAAGGTGTGCATGAAGTGTTTTATATGAGTGACATGAACACATGGTGTATTTGAAATTAAGAATTATGAATATATGATATGTATGAAATATTTGATATGAGTGGTTGTTCAGATGTCTGGTGCGAATTGTTTGACTTGAATGTCTCTATACAGATGTATGATATACAAATGTATAAAAATGTTTTTATTTAGATCTATCGATGAGTGTGCAGTGAAATATGTTATGATATTGTCATGTGTATTCGCTTTGAAAAACTGAATAAAAATATAAGTAAAGACAAAGGGAGATGACATGGATTACACACAGCTATTTGTGTATTTAGCAAGCAATATTTATCCACAAACCATATGCCAACGAAAACAATCTTTGGAAAAACTTTGAATTTTAAGCCCAATTAAAATATACTACAGGGCTCTCACATCCTATTTTGGGACTGGGGCCCGGGGCCCTTACAATTGGGAAAAATAATGGTGTTTTCCTTGGAATTGGGAAAACTTGGGGTCTAAACTGGAAAGAAAAAGATATTATTTTGCATTGGGAATGGGGCTGAATATCGACCCCAAATCTGGCAGATCGAGAGCCCTGTACCATTTTACAGTAAAGTGAACAATTTTGACCACAATTCTAATATAGAATTCAAAACATTGTACATAGGATAGAACCTTATAACACAACCAGTAGAAAATTGACAATACCAACCTGAAGAAAATGTTTCCAAACATACAGTGTACATAGAATAGAACTTCTTATAACAAAACCAGTAGAAGATTGACAATACCAACCTGAGGAAAATGTTTCAAAACATACAGTGTACCATCAAACAATACTAAACAGTGACAGACATACCTGAAATCATTATTGGAATGTCACTCAAGGTTTACACAATGATTGGCAGGACAGACACCATAACACTGTCCATCAAGACAACACCCTCAATCTGCCAGACTTAAAAACTAAAGCGTAAAATTTTGTCATTAAAACAATGATAAGTAAATTGGACATGTATCCCACCCACAAATACTTATTAACTTTTTTCAGCGATATTTTGTCCTTCTCCATAGGCTGGCACCTGAACATCAGTTAAATCAACAGCACAACCAGACAATTAAACAATCTGGATCTCTTATATAACTGACTAAAAATCAAGGACGGTGCTATTATCATGTGATCCACATAGGCCTGTACAATGTTTCTGGGTGTTGAGGGCTTCTATGGTATACTACGTTACAGGCCCTTGTGATCCATTAATATTTTGATACCAATTCCTACTACGTGTGCTTGTCAACATGAAAATCAACAGCACAGCTGGAAATCAGCTGCTAAAGAAAGATGTCTGTTGCCCAAGAGTGAAAGACTCAGTAACTCAGAGAAAAACACAGGGATGAGACACCAGTAGAAGATGGGTGTCTGTGGTCAGAGAGGGAAAGATTCAGTAACTCAGAGAAAAACACAGGGATGAGACACTAGTAGAAGATGGGTGTCTGTGGTCTGAGAAAGAAAGACTCTGACACTCCAACACTAGGTTATAACAGGATAGCAGTCATGTGACACACTCCAACACTAGGCTACAAAAGGATAGCAGTCATGTGACACACTCCAACACTAGACTACAAAAGGACAACAGTCATGTGACACAGTTGCCAAAGATCTTTAAACAAGAGATCCCAGAGGGATCTTGGCGCCCACCATTTGAGGATCTGTTTTCAGTTCTTGAAGATTTGTTTATTTTTTTTTTGTTTGTTACAGGTGTTGTAAATGTTCATGAACTGGTCTTCATTGAATGTACTCAATGATGGCACAAGATATTTTTATTAAGAACTTATTAGCAAATATCATTTGAAAAAGATCCCAAAGTATTATTAGATTGCAGTCAGTTACAGGTGGATAATGGACAATATGTTTGTGCTGTCGACATCCAAGATGGCGGCCTGTGGGCCACCTTGATTTCAAATCAGTCCAAAAAAGGTACAATGCACAACTAGGGACCAAGGGAAACCAATATCTATGAAATACCAGAAGGATCCATCCAGTACTTCCTCAGATATAGCAGTAACAAGATTTTACTCTCAAAATCCAAGATGCCACCTGTAGGCCATCTTGAATTCGAATCAGTCCAAAAAAGGTACAATGCACAACTAGGGACCGAGGGGAACCTGCATATGAAATTTGAGAAAGATTCATCCAGTACTTTCCAAGAAATAGCGGTAACAAACTTTTACATCCAAAATCCAAGATGGCCATCTGTCGGCCATCTTGAATTCGAATCAGTCCAAAAGAGGTACAATGCACAACAAGGGACCAAGGGGAAACTGCATATGAAATTTGAGAAAGATCCATCCAGCACTTTCCCAGAAATAGCGGTAACAAACTTTTACTTCCAAAATCCAAGATGGCTGCCTGTTAGCCATCTTGATTTCGGATCAGTCCAAAAATGTACAATGCACAACTTGGAACCAAAGGGAACCTGCATATGAAATTTGAGAAAGATCCATCCAGCACTTTCCCAGAAATAGCAGTAACAAACTTTTACATCCAAAATCCAAGATGGCCACCTGTCGGCCATCTTGAATTTGAATCAGTCCAAAAAAGGTATAATGCACAACTAGGGACCAAGGGGAACCTGCATTTGAAATTTGAGAAAGATCCATCCAATACTTTCTCAGAAATAGCGGTAACAAACTTTTACTTCCAAAATCCAAGATGGCCACCTGTCGGCCATCTTGAATTTGAATCAGTCCAAAAAAGGTACAATGCACAACTAGGGACCAAGGGGAACCTGCATATGAAATTTGAGAAAGATCCATCAAGTACTTTCCAAGAAATAGCGGTAACAAACTTTTACATCCAAAATCCAAGATGGCCACCTGTCGGCCATCTTGAATTCGAATCAGTCCAAAACAGGTACAATGCACAACTAGGGACCAAGGGGAAACTGCATATGAAATTTGAGAAAGATCCATCCAGTACTTTTCCAGAAATAGTGGTAACAAGAATTGTTTACGGACGGATGGACGGACCACGGACGCAGGGCGACTGAATACCCCACCATCTGATGATGGTGAGCTAAAAATATTCTCCAATATTTAATGACAGAAGAGGATGTTTTTTTCTTTCATATATCTTCCTTTTCATATTTAATTTGTGGAACAAATTAAAGTGTAACCCCAATAGTGAGATAAGACATGTGTACTTACCACTGCTTTTCCATCTTGGAAACTCTCAATTTGGTGACTGTCTTCACTTTTTACCAAGCTCTGCACCTCTTTACCAGAGATATGTTTAAAGTTATCTCCCTTTTCATTCAGGTTGTCACTAGATGTCACTTCAATATTATGGCTGTCCGTTTCATAATTTGGCACATTATTAAATTTCACTTTACCATGGGAATAATAGTCAGATTTGGCACCATTAGTTTCACAAACATCTCCCTGTAATTGACTTAATTTATTGATATGACTAGAGTTATCCCCCTTAGAATCACAACCATGGACACCTGATATATTGATAGATTGAGACAATTCTTCCACAGATTCATTGTTGTGTTTTGCAGACTCAGGCTGTTGATATGAGGTTTGTTTTGACATTGTGTCCTCATTCTCTAAGACATTCTGTGTAAATTGGTTGTTCATTTCATCAGACTCTGTTAGTCCCTGCTCATTCCACTTCTCAATCTCTTTAGTGGGAAGCCCTCGTACCCTCTGGTCATTTAATGGCCCAATCCTGTCCCTTCTGGTTTCTTCAAGATCTTGACCATGATTGACAGGTTGACCTTCAAGGTTCTCCACATCTGGTGTCATCATAATTCTGTAACTTCCTTCTGTAGTTGTTGAACAGCTGTCTGAACTGTCAGATGAAGCACCATCTACTGGTGCCAGCAAACAAGTGGCTCCACCTAGTGGCAGAATATTAACATTAGTACTGCCATCTTCAGCCAAGGGATGTAACTCCTGTTTTTCATCTGAACATTCTGTTTGGTCTTTTCCTTCAGATGTCTTATTATCACTGAAACCTCCTGGTTCAATTCTTTCACAATCTGTGACCTTGAAAGATGAGGAACCTGACTGGGTTACCGTCACAATAGCAGATGCTATGATTTCCCTGATGAGTTGACCAGCATATTCCTCTACAGAAGAAATGGCTGACAGACTGGCCACCTCTCCACTACAAGGTGACACCATACTCCCGTCTTGATATTCCAAGTCTTTGGCAGAATTAGCAGATTGTAAAGGAGAATTTTTCACAGGTAACAAACTTGATTCACATGACCCACTACCATTTTGTACATCAGCTTTATCATACATGTTCTTTCTGAGAGCCTCTACATTTTTGGGTAAATTTGACAAAGTTGCACTCTGGAGGGCCTCAAAATTTCTTGGAATTTCTGATACACCTTTTCCTCTGGAGGCCTCGAAGTTTCTTGGTAGTTCTGATAAAATTTTTCCTTCCATTGATGTCCCCTTTTCATCTAACGACTTTCCTTGAATAGCCTCCATATTCTCAACGACACTATACCATGATTTCCCCTGAAGAGCCTCTACATTCTCACTATCACTGATCTTCCTGAAGCTAGTGCATTCAATGACCTCCTTGTTACCTGAGGTCGCGAGGTCAAGGTTTCCATGAAGAGGGTCAATACGTGATAGATAGTCAGTCTCTACTGTAATGGAGGTTGTGCTTGGAGTTTTCTTTAATTGAACTGAAAATAAAATGAAATAATGATCATCAACCAAAAGTTTCAATCAAAGAAACCCATACTACAGCAGGTTCTAATCATCAATGCATAATGATGTTAAAAATTAACTCATTTTATAAAGCTTTTATAAAGAGTGTCCAAACTCACTCCTACAATCATTTAGCCTATTATCACATAATGAACAGGATTGTTGTACTGGGTTTTTTTTCTCAAAGTTTTTATTTTTTGTGCTGTTAACAACAGACTGAAGCAAAGTGTTTTCCTTATTCAGGAATCTTTCAGGAAGGTCATTTAGTGGATAAAAATTTTATTTTCAAAGTCAAATATTTCTTGGCAATTTTATTTGATTAAAAAGAATTTTTAAAACCATGAAAAATAAAAAAAATAATCTGTATAGTTCCAAATACAAAATCTCAGACTTGTTTCATTCTTTCCTATTTTTCAATTATAGGGCACATGTTCTTTTCCATATTAAACATATGTTCTTCAAGCACAGCATGATCCTCTTACTTATTAAATCTATTAGACCATGTAAGCAAACAGAAAAATATACCATATATATAGACAGATAACACAGATTATCACATGAACATACCTGGAAATGTTAGGCCTTTGTTAAATGCCATTTCCAGAGGATAGGAAGAGTTCTCTCCCATGCTTGGTTGAAGGATTCCCATGATGCTCTTGGCTACATGTGGATTTGACATATTAGGGAATGCATCCACAGCGTTGGCTATCATTTGTCCTGCCAAGGAATAGACAAAATCCTTGAATACAAGATCTTCCTGAATGTAATCGCCAGGACCTTTCCTTCCATCTCCATCTTGGTCACCTTGAGGAGACTGACCTTTACCCAGGTTTATAACTCCCCTGCTATGACCTTGTCTTTGGCCTTTGTGTAATTCCTGGTTACCATTACTTGGGTCATCTTTGTCAAATGTTGAGTGTGATTCATCATATTCTGCTTCTTCTCCGTCAGTGTCTCTCAACATGGCAAGAGCTATTTCCATAGCGACAACATTTCTCTCACCTTTATTCTGACCTATATCTGACTTCCTGTCATCCGTCGCATTAAGATTGTCACACAGATCTGTAACACTCTCACTGAAGAAGTTGGACTGAGACACACTCTGACTGGAGGTCACGACCTCTGGACTATGACTTCTGACTTCTGACCTGTCACCTTTAATGGCTTCAAGGTGTGAACTCAACAGGCTTGGATCAACAGACTGGTCCATGTAAGAATTGAACTTGTTCTCCATATAGCTATTTTGTGGAGTAAATGGCACAAAATCATTATGTTTGCCACCCTGAGCCATCATTAAATCCCCACCCAGACTAAAATCAGAGTTATCTCCCATTGACGACCTCTTCTGTTGTATCTTTTGTACCATGTCTGAACTGTTAAAGCTTGGTAGGTTCTGCTCCTTGGCAAACCAGTCAAACCCGCCGTCAATGACACTATTTTGAGGTGTATAGGGTACACTGTTCCCTGCCGATCCACTACAGGATGGGTTGCCACTACTAGCCGAAAGTAACGCCTTCTTTTCCTGAATCTTGTTTAACATTTCGGAACTATTAAAACTTGGTAAGGTCTGTTCCTTACCCATAAAGCCACTGTCCATGTAACTATTTGGAGGTGTAACAGGATAACTAGGAAAACCTGATCCAGGTCGGGAAGCCGTAGCTGAGGAATTTCCTGAACATTCGTTAACACTGGTGACCATGATATCCGGGGTTCGAGGCGACTCCATGACATCAGCTTCATTCAACTCTCCAAGGTTGTCATCCAGATTCACAAAATTTAACGTTGGCACCATGTTGGAATATCTGTTTTTCACGGTTTGATTTTTGGTTTCATGTTCACTGAAACTCAAATCCGAGATGGAAACTTCTGGAGGAGTGTTGGAAAATGATAACACTAGAGGTAACACTTTCTTTCTTGATGCCTTCACATTTTCCTGGGTGTAACAGTATATGCCATCATGGCTGTTTGGAAACACTGACAGCCCAAGATCTGGGTCAAGTGAATTCTTTAATCTTGATGATAGCTATGAAAAAAGAAAGATATCAAATCATTTCATATAATAAGATATTTAACCAGAAATCTATCAGTAGGAAAGACATCCCATCTTTAGAGAAAATATTTGTCAGTATTCTTCAAAGATTGATGTCTTCCATAATAGTTCAATAGTTGGCAATAAAGTCAAACCTGTTTTAAAGGCTACTTTGCAACAAAGACCTCCTCTCTATTAAGGTTTCTTTCATACAAGGACCTTCTGTTTGTAAAGACCTCATGTCCATAAAGACCTCCTGTCTATTGAGGCAAATTTCATACAAAGACCTCCTCTCTATTAAGGCCTCCTGTCTATTAATGCCTCTTTCAAAAAAAGACATCCTATCTAGTAAGTCCACTTTTATACAAAGACCTACTATCTATTGAGGCTACCTTCATATAAAGACCTCCTGTCTATTACAGTTACTTTCATACAAAGGGCACCTGTCTATAAAAGCCACTTTCATACAAAGACCTCCTGTCTATTGAGGCAATTTCATACAAAGACATCCTATCTATTGAGGCAATTTCATACAAAGACCTCCTGTCTATTGAGGCAATTTCATACAAAGACATCCTGTCTATTAAGGTCACTTTTATACAAAGGGCAACTGTCTATAAAGGGCTTTTTTTGTTTCCCTATGTAATGCTCTAAATTGGGATGAGAATGCTTAACATGATTTCTTTTAATGTTATAAATTTGTTATTGTATGAGGGGAAAGAGTGTTTCTTCAGATGTAATCACTTTTGCCCAATCTTCTAGTCATTATTTAGACAATGAAATGTGGCTAAACTAAGATGCTCATAGTAACTGAACCTCTATATAAAGGTCACCTGTGTTTAGAGGCCACTTTTCTCTGTTACCTTGAAGGATACACTTGCAAGGTGAGAAACACTGCAGACATATCAGTGTTTTGTAAAAGAAAATTAGATTTTATAAGGAATTATGTTTTATCATAAAAGAAAATTAGATTTTATAAGGAATTATGTTTTATCATAAAAGAAAATTAGATTTTATAAGGAATTATGTTTTATCATAAAAGCTATGATTTGCTAAAAATGAAAGATTTCTTCCTGGGTTGTATTTTGTAAGTAATTTGTAAATATTTTTACTCCTCAGCAGTACTCAAATTGAGGAAAGGTTTGTGAAGAGCTACAAATTGAGGAAAGCTATGTTTTGTGTGATTTTTTTCTTTTTTACTTTTAAGCAGATTAAGGTATCTAGAGACAGCTAAAACTCAAGATCTTACACTAGTCGTTTACTGTTAATACAAGAGGCCAAGCAGCCTTGACGGTCACCTGAGATAAACAATATTGAATATAAAGGTTAAAGGATAGTTATTAAGAGTCATGAAACAGAAATTATGACACTGAATACAGACAGTGTCATTACATGCATCCCATCTAAACTGTCATCCTATATTGGTAATTCTTATGAAGTTATAACCAACTTTATACTCAAAAATATCATTTTTCTATGAAAATTACAGTAAAGTCTAAACAAATTCCTCCCCATGAAGAAATGTGAGACCCATTTTGGTAATTAAAGCACCTTAAGATGCTTTCATTCATGAAGAGTATTTGATTATATCACATCTTGGTGTTGAGAAGAAGAATTTTGAAATTCAAGTCAATTTCACCCCTTTTGGCCCCGCCCATCGGCACCTGGGGATCAGTCAGGATCGAAATGGGCATATCATCGAGCCTTCATCCTTCACTCATAATTCTAACCAAGTTTGAAACATTTCCAATGCAAATTGAGAATAGGATTTTTGAAATCTGAGTCAATTTGACCCCTTTCGGTTCCGCCTCTCAGACCTCTGGGGGACGGGGACTGTATAATTCACAATTTTGGTTCATCTTAGGTTAGGAAAAGTTTCTGCAAAATTTTTATTGAAATTGGATCAGGGGTTTATAAGAGGAAGTCGAAAGTGTTAAATTGTTTACGGACATACCACGCACAACACCAGATGAAGGGTATTAGAATAGGTCACCATGAGGTTCTGTCTCTGGTGACCTAAAAATATATCATGTTCATACATTGCAACACACTCACCTGGATAGCAAAGTCATTGTCTGTTGCACATAAAGCCAGTTGTCTTCTTGGCTCTCCCACAGTGTCTTGATACATTGTCATGATAACCAAGATAGCCGCACCTTGGTCCCGTAGGAAGTGCTGACAATCTTGTATAAAATTAACCCTACTTACGAATTCCTAAAAAACGTGAAATAAAAAAGAGTATTAACATTCATCAATTTACATTGAAAATGCAAATTAATTATGTCTTGAGAAATTTGAGTATTTGAATACAGAGTAAGTAAAAAACATCATTTATCATTTCAAACTTTGCTACAGTGACTTACTTCCAGTTCCATAGAGACAGAAGCCATGGCAACCACGTAAGAACTGCCCGTCACAATCTTTAGATCTTTCTCCAATATTTCTATTGTAGTTAGTCCTGATAACAAAACATAAAACATAAAACAAGGAGAAGACAGAGTTCACTGTAACTTGTATGAGTAGAAATCATCGTATGAAGTTTCAATCAAATCCATCAAACCTTTCTCAAGTTATTATCTGAAAATCAAAATTTGAAGAAAAATATCTATTTTTAGCAGCAATGACCTTTGTAGTTGACCTTCCACCTCAAACTCAAATCTGTTCTGTGCTACCTATATTCCCTTTCAGTTCCACCAACAGGGGATGAATTACTTAGCTTGTGACTTCTTTTTTTTGTGACTGTAAAAGTTCCAGGGTTACAGAGAGTGAAAGTGGTCGTAACCCCCTGGAGTATCAATGTATAGGCTAATTTCAAACACTCTGTCACTGCTCATCCTTCATAATAATGTACATGAAATCCCTTGAAATAATTAAATTTTGAGTTCGAAATCAATCTTCAAGATGGCTTCCATAGTACAAAACAAGATATAATGTCAGGTGGATGTCATCATATATCAAAGCTGGTGATTACAACTTAAACTTACCTGTTAAGTCACACTTTGCCTTCTTCAGTTGTTCGTAGAGTTCTCTCCCCTGGTTGTTGGTAACCCAGCCTTCCAGTGTCTGAATAGCAGCAGTGTCTCGCGGTGTTGTCTTCCCTGCAGCTGGGCTTTGATTGATGGTGTCCACCAAAATCGTTCCTACATACATTAACAGACCACTTAAGGGAGGTAACTCTAATACATTATACATGACCGAATCAGATACAGGTTTTTGGAACAGAAAGAAATGCTGTACCCTGATGTAGGTAATCACAAGTTGTGACTGTTGGTAATTTATTAAATTCCTTACAAAAATGTTGGAAGTTGTTGCTTTTTGCTTTCAGGCATTTAATACAAATTTGATCCCTCATCTACAATGTCAATGCTGAAATTTCAAGAACTCCAACACACAAATTTTTTGTGTCAATGTTTTTTTTTTTTTATTATCATTTTTTTTTTATAAACCACTGATCTATACCTAATGAGAATTTAAACTATGAGCATTCAGTTTTCAATCACTTATCAGGATCTCACTGAAAACAGCAACCATTACAATGAAAACTGACATCAAAGACAGATCTCACTGAAAACAGCAACCATTACAATGAAAACTGACATCAAAGACTAAAACATTTCATGATGCTTTTGGATTACTTAACAAAACTGATTCCTCATTTCCTTTGTAAATATTTGGATATTTTCAACAATGTAATGGTTTAGCTCACTTTCAATTTTTTTTTTATGTTTTTTTCCTAAATAAGAAACATCTTACAGCTGAAAAACACTACAAAATATCATTCATCTTACCATACAATAATAACGCCACCTCATGATCCATGACTACGCTGTCATTGTTTACCAGGAGCTCTTCAGCTATCAAAGTACAACAAGATCCAACAGTATCCATAACAACCTGTACCCTGAAATATACAATTATATACATTAGGGATCTGCATGTATCAACAGAGTATAAGGAAATTGCTTAACAAGTTTGATACATCAATAGCTTTCAGGTCAATGGTCATCACAAGTTTAAAGTCTCACTATTTCTGAGACAAGTTGAGGTTAACAGGCAAAACAGTGAGTTGATATACTGATGTTGAATAAAGAAAATTTTTTACAAAAAAAAAAAAAGGATACAAACCTGCCATCTTCTGGTCGCTGTCGAGGACGATGATCAATCACCATGGTAACAGCATCTTCTAATGCAGTATCTGTTGCTGGTAACACATTGTGATCCACCAGGGTCAATGCCAGGCATTTACAGCTGTGCAGATGTGACAGGTCAAGGTCATCTCTAAAGGTCAAAAGGTCAGCAGAAATACCTTGTTGACTTAGAAGGAATGTAGTCTCTGTGCGAAGGTGGTATTTCTTCCTTGGTATATTTAGCACAGGAACATACAAACAACTGTCCTCTGTCTTTGTCTGCGTACAAAGAAAACTAGGGTTTCACTTTTCACTTCACAATTATCGAATCAAATCAACTGTCACTTATATCATCATTTTTTTATGCAATCAATTTCATATAAATAAAATCATCAATTTCATCACCATTCTGCTGATGACTTTTAAAAGCGATTGATCTCCTTTCAATCATACCCCAATAGAAGCCTGTATTTGCTATATGATATACAACACAGTTTTACAATGGGATCATTTAAAATTCCTTGTTATCTAAAATTCTTTTTTTGACTAAAAAGCATTGACAAGGGATGAAATGAGAGAAAAAACAGAGAATAATAGAATTGGTAGCTAAAACCTTTGCCATCAACAAATACTGATTGAGACTGACTGACAAACAAGGTTCTGATACCGGATTTACCTTGTGTCTATAATAGCTATAAACAATGGCCGCAATAGCTGAGTCTAGGTCACATGCCTCATTGCCAAGGACAACATGGACCTTTTCGTAGGAAGGCAAGTTATCCTGAAAAATAAGACAATAAAATTTCTGAATCATTCTAATAGTGGCACAGTACAGAAAACACATGTGTGTACTTGTTCAGCAATGTACTTAAGGAATGATCAGATATATGAATATAATGCAATCCATTCAGTCACTGAGCTAATACACCGACTCATCAACATTTTTACTTTTCTTTCATCACTTAGGATTTTCCTCAGTCGCCTCCTAAACTTACAAATTTAGACCGCCCAGTAACATAAATGATGAGTCCTAGAAGGACAAATCAGCTGTCTGATGAAATTTGATTCAGTATCTAGTACTTCTCTTAGTAATTATAAATTTTATTAAAAGGTGATGTTCACTTGTTTGTCATTTGCACAATCTACAAGGAGTGGTAACCTATCTAACACTGAATACTTGATCAATATTCTGATAAAAAGGACCTTACAACTATCTCCATATTATACATGATATATGATAAGTACCACTAGGATTCAAAATGAAAAATCTATAACAAACTTGTCCAATAAATCTCATGATATGGACACATAAGATCCTAGTGAGAAGTAAATTAAGTATCTTAAATAACCATTTCCGCATTTGAAATATTTCAAATTTTATATAAGTGATAAATTAAAAGAATAATGTAATTTCTTTACCTGGGCCTTCTTTGTGAATTTTAGATATTCCTCCATGTCAGGTATTTATCCGAGATTAATCTGAGCTCCAACGATCTCCCACCACACAGTTGGTAACAGCCATCTCCCAGTCTATAACAAAATAGTAAAAATAGGTTATTTAACAATGGATTCTTAACCTTTCGTTTTGTAACTGTATTACTAAAACAATAGCAGGGATCCAAAATATTCCCAAAAACTGAACAATATCACTTGTACCACTGCATACAGTGATCAGAGGTACCGATAAAGCTAAAACTCATCTGTTAACTTCAATTTTACTTATAAATTTTATCCATAAATAAAATGGAATCTGTTATAACAGCAGATGATAATTTATAACCGGTGAATTATTACAAAAATTATTCACCCCTCCCCAAAATAAAACTTATTGTGATAAAGAACAACACAATTGTTTTCTAAAAAATGAATATCAACGAATGTTAATGATTCTCAACTTAAACCTATTGACTGTAATAAGGTAGACATTTCACCCACTTGCTTGTGTCTTTAATTAATATCACTCAAATGAAGCAAGAAATCATTGTATGGTACTAAATATGTACACAGTATGGACGAATCCAATTTATATGCTTCATAAATAACATTCAGATGCTGCAAAAGGCACAATCATATTTCAGCACAATGTTTGCAGTGCAAAATCACTAAAATAAAATCAACCTTAAATTATGTATGTTTACAGTATATCCTGTTAACATTCCTTCTGGTCTATCAAAGCTTTTTATCAGCAAAAGTAGGAAAATTTATCAACTTTTAACTGCGAATTTTTCAGCATATATAAAAGATAGTTTAAATACTACAAGTTTTATAACTTAATATTCAGCAACTTATTTTGAGAGCGGCCATCATGATCATCTATTATAAAAATATTACAAAATTATATAAAAATGTGTGTTAATTGACAAGTTCGCGATCATCTATATAAAAAAGTGTGTTAATTGACAAGTTCAGGATCATCTATTTTAAAAAAAAGTGTGTTAATTGACAAGTTCATGATCATCTATTTAAAAAAGTGTGTTAATTGACACGTTCAGGATCATCTCTTTTAAAAAGTGTATTAATTGACACGTTCAGGATCATCTCTTTTAAAAAAAAGTGTGTTAATTGACAAGTTCACGATCATCTATTTTAAAAAAAAGTGTGTTAATTGACAAGTTCAGGATCATCTATTTAAAAAGTGTGTTAACTGACAAGTGCATTTACATGAATCTGCAATTCTACTTACCACCATCCCACACTCTAGTGTATACTATACACTGTACATACTATAGATAAAAAAATAAAAATCAACTTTGAACTCAGAACTATCTCATAAAGATCAATCACGTAAACACGTACAGTACACAGATTGTTTGTACAAGTAAGGTCAGAAATCTTTATAAGTTATGTATGAAACTTTGGTTGTTTTTGTTTGTGTAACGGATTCTCACTTTTCCATATACAGGCTTTAATTATATATATGTATACAGCATGTAACACTGTGTAAACACAGCCAAACACTTGTCAACAAGGCAGAATTGAAGATCTACAAGTGCAAAGATTTTCAAAAGATTAACAGAATATTCTATTAAATCTGCAGAGGCACCATTTTCAAAACATTCAAAATAATAGAATAAATTTTTTGTGAACAATTTCAACTTCAAGATCTGTAAAATTACCAATCCAAGGGGAAATTATATTTCCTTAAAAAGTTTACAACAAGATCTTCTGTTGGACAGGAATCTTCCCAATCACTAATGTAGTATTTATGTTGTGTATGTAGGTTATCAAGTAATATTTAACAAAATATGGCTTATAAAACACTTCAGCTTTGTGAAGAAAATTCTTCTTCAGGTTTTTTGTTTGTCAGGTTTGTCACCCTTTGAACAGCCAAGGTCATTATGAGGTGGGGGTCTTCTTGTAGTCACTGGTGACTTTCTCAATGAACAACATACAGGAGGTGTGTCACATGCCTTCAAGAACATTTCGGGTAAAATGCCTTGTCCAAGGACACAACCACTTTAGCAAAGACCTATCCAAGCCAATTCTCAGCTTCCTGAAAAGCACAACCCCACACATGTAGGGAGCATCAATCTACGTGCCTCTGATCGTCAACTGAAGCTATGTAGGTCAGACTGAGAAAATTAAGTCCTTAATTATCCTTAAAGAATTACTTTGAAAAAAGGAAATTTTCACTGATTTACTATCATAACATCAAAACAAATTTCTACACATTTTGAATTGTGTGTTGTTATATCCCTTTTCATAGTAGTTTGTGTTTATCAGGAAATTAAAACTGTATTATGTGATTTCCTAGTAATGGCCATGGGTTAAACACCCAAATTTCCTGAACAAAATGTGACTGAACTTCTGCATGTTGTTCATTGAGGAAGCCATCAGCCACTACAAACTCTGCATCAAATTTCATATAAACCAGTATTATATATTCAAATATTAAGCTATCTGTGAATAATAGGTTTTTCCAGTAGTTTCCTATTTCACTATGCGTACTGTATGGTGAATAATTAATTGGGCAATTTTAATTGGAAAGAATTAAACTACATGTTTTTAATTCTGCTCTTTAATAATAAAAAAATATGACACGACAAAAATTATAATATGCACCAATATATATATATATATTATGTATGATTTATCCAATCATTCTTACATGTAAAACTGTAGAACATTTTTTATAATTGATGTGATGGGCTAATGCTTACCAGGAATTTTCATGAAATTGCAAGAATTTTTTACAAAAATCTTATATAAATTTTGCACCTCACTTTACCATTTCTCAATCTAATCTTACAGACTCAACTTTCAATACAAGAATAACTTATTATATCATTATTTATGCATTAAACAAAAAAAACCCATATCATTTAGTCAGTCAGTTGCCAAGTTTCCATAGTTCCATAGTTTAATAGATTGTGTCAATTTGCACACAGATTTCACAAGATTTTTTTTTTAAATTTCTGACAAAAATGGTCAGTAATGCACAAATTTATAACAGTTTTCCTGGACAGTGACGAGAATTACTCTGACAAATGAACATTTTTCACCAGTATTGGCGAGAATAGGGTCGCGGACAGTAGCGATTTGTAAACGTTACATCCAAGATATTCAATTTCCATTTTAAAGAAATGTATTCCATGATATGCATATTTCATTTCAGTTATTGGAATAGACTTACTTCGATTTGCTTAAGAATGTCAATACCATATTACCAGTCAGAACAGATAAACTCCTACAATGGGTCGGATATAAATTACGTGATAAATACAGGGTACAGTGAGAGCAGATTTGTTGTGATTTTCTGAACACAACGACCATGAAATGTCAATGGACTATATATGAGTAATCCCTGTCAAAATGGCAAACACGCGCCGCGCATGTTAAAGTCAACATCAATAAATAAACATGAATAAGCTAATTATCTACTCATACCCAGTGTAAAAGGTGTTCGCTCGTAAGATATTGAGTAGCCTAGAATTGATCGGTGGAAACAGACGTCGGTTCTGCAACTCTGTGCAGCTCCTTCGGTCCTAATTATCTCGTGTCTGTGATGTTGACTCGAGTCGTTACAATAGTCTATGTGCGTTCTTACGTGTCGATTTATCGCTGGCTCGTGATCGTCATAATTCCTTCGTAATAATGGGTCAGCACCTCCCTTGTTTATCTTCCACTCAGTTCGATGATAGCAGAATCTATTTCCCTTGGGGGTCAAGGTCGGTTAATAGTAACTGACGAACTGGATACAGAAATATCCGGAAATAAGTTGAACAGATCAAGACGTCTAAAAATGATGATCGCATATACGTTCATACAAGGTCGACTAAACCTGTAACACATTTCAGACAGTTTTAAACAAAATTCAAGATTTATGATTTTCCACGCATAATTCACAATGTTCAGAGTGAAAAAATAAGACAGAAAACTTGACTGTTCTTCAGTTTTTACAGTCTTCTGAAGATATCAAAATGTAGCTACCTTAGCACTGTAAAGTAGAAAATCTCATTTCCGTAATTTTACATGTAATACATATGATACAGAGAATTAATACCAAACATCTGTGAGTAGAAGCTCGTGTGTCCAAACTCTTATTGAACAAACCGTTCTCACGTTTTGGTAATGGATTTTCTGATCGATGTCTTCAAGTTTCACAATTAAAAAGAACAATTCAGTTGTTGTTTACAGTTGTTCGCCTAATGTTGAAATGAAGCTGATTTTGTCCGAAGGTCATTTAACTTTTTCCACTGACTTAGAAAGTCCGTGCTTTTTTCTCGTGAGAACAACTATTTGATGAGATCATAGATGTATATTACACAACAATCAGTACACATAAAAAGTTGCGAGACCTACTCGAGTTTCCAATCTCTGTTTTACACGCGTCTCTGATAAGATTATATGAAAGCTTGTAAAATACTGTGTTTAAAGTCAACACAAACCGCCATTATAGTGCTAACCTATCATCATCTTAGTCAGAACTGTCCTATCTTTCAACAGACGTTTTTTTATCACCCGGAGTCTATATATGAACTCATCGAATCCAGCCCGATATATGAAAGGCCTATAGAACTTTGGGCTGAAATCCAATAACAAGGACTATAATTACCAGTCGCTGTAATTTATTCTTATATACGTTAAAATCAGGAATGTACAATACATATCATGATCTTTATTATACGTCCATGTTTAAATGCAATACCGTTAATGTTTGTAGTTTTATGAAAAGCTATACAAACCGTACTTACATTGTTAAAAAATGAAAAGAGAATGATTTGAATTAAATTCAGATTACAGATTTCCTACATTGAATAAGACAGCGTCCTTCTCACCGAAGAAACACGCGCATGTATACAACCTAAGACTTTTGTTTTGTTTATTTTTTTTCTGTTTTTGTGTTAAGAAGAAAAAAGTTCATAAAATTTATTCATGGTCGTCACAAAATATTTCATGATTTACAAGGATGACGTATTATTGAGTTTTCTGATTAATGCACCTCCCCATCTGGATCTCGTTCGAACATTTAATTTCAATATTTTCCAATTCATTGTTTGATATTGATACACTGTGTCTAAAATCTAAATCCCTTCCTCCTTCCCCTTCAAGAATTGGCCAAATTTTCTGACATTTTTATTTCTCACCTTTTAACCTCGGGATGTTGTCAAATCACCTTATCTAACCACTGCAGCGTCGTTATTAAAACACTTTAAGAGCTTATGTTGATCGTTGAACGTGTAAACGTCGTAAAACAAAGATTCATTTTCATCTTAATATTTCATAGAGACAATATGCCAGGGTTTTTTTTAACTAGTTAAATTATCAATTTTATCTAAAACAGGGACATAAATACACTCAGATTAACATGTTTATCAGAAAGTTCATTTACAAGGATGTATTTAAGTAAAATCCTAACTTCCCTTATCATAACAAGCTTAAGGAAGTGAAATGATTTTTTTTTTAATCTCTCTCAGTTAAAGCTTCCACGTGTACAAAGGCGAACCTTTTCGCGCGCTGTTTAAAAGGGACGCATTGGATTGGACAGTATTTGTGTCTTCCCCGTCGATACCGCGTCGTTCAAACGCTTTCTTCAAAGGGGCACCTGTTGATCTCCTTTCAAGCGCGTGTCCTGTATAGACAAAGGGGCTTTGGTTATTTGATGTATTTTCGACAAAGAAACTGCTACAGGTGAAAAGGAACATGTTTCGATTTGGACAGGTAAGAAAATAGATCGGTTATTTTGTGAAGTGCTTTGTCGGCTGATTTTATTAATAATTGCTTATTTTCTGAAATCTTGGTGCAACAAGTGGTTTTCATGAACTTTTTGTCCGAGAACATGTGGTCGTCGGATCAAAACAGACATTGTTTACAATTGGATACACGTACGCGTGGCCCTAATACACATCAATATGTTTCGACAATTGTACAAAATATAGCCACAAAACCATCTATTTCCGTTTGCATTTCAATTATCACAAATATATCACGCCAGAGTTTGTGTAATAAATATCGAACGCGTGTTTTAGACACTTTAGCATGTGTTTGAGCTCATTACCGATGGAAAGCGTGACCGGTTTATATAACAATGGAGGCAGAAAAGCCAAGTGTCTCTTTTAATGGGCGTCGTTTTGTTGATTAATTTCCTGAACCGTCACAAACTTTGATATAATTATAGTGCAAATATTGTATTTAGAGTGTGATGCGTAAGTATTTTTACATGATTTCATAAATTTAACTGCAATCAACCTTATTTGTCCAAAATGATTGACTGCAAATCTAGAGCTATGTAAACACATGCAGGTACAATTTACAAATAATTTTACGAGTAGCTGCAATGACAAATTTAGGCTAAAAATAATGAAGTTTTCAGTAAACAAAAGCACTATATAAAGATATTATCAGACCAGTCACTGATTGTTCAAAAATCTCCATCAAGATCATGTTTCTGAACGGATATCACTAAATAAGAGATATATCATCAAGTTCCTGCATCAGAAAAATTAAGATCTATGAAATAAATGCACTTTAAATACAAAAGAATTATAAGTTTATCCCTAGAAATCCAGGTACTACCAATTTTAAATGGAATTAATTCTAATGATCTGCTCTGAGATTTAAACAATGTTTAAACCTTCCAGGTACTTCGCTGCAAATACACAATTATGTATATATGCATCATCGCAATAAGAAGTGAATCATTTTCCAAATTGTCCTCCCTGGGATTAGCCACTGGACCCAGAAAGGACCATGCACCACCAATTTATTTATGACAATGACATGCAACATGACTCTAGTTTATTCAGAACATATTTCATGATGTGTGTTGCCAAACATTTTGTATTTCCATCACTGCATTATTCAATTTAATTTTTTTTTTAAATGTACCTGTCAATTTATCAAACTTGGGATGATATGATTGTCCTGTTCATCATAAGAATTTCAAACAAGTTAATGATGCATCTTCCTGTAGATTTAAAATTTAAAGACTAGTCATCGAGCTGACTTACAGAATTTTTTTCAAATTGATGTATGCAACGTTTATGATTCTGTATAGAAGATATCATAAGGAAAAACATCCTATATATAAACGATGTAAAATCTTTAATGATATTTGTAAATGAATTAGATCATTCCCTCGACCTCTCCATCGACCCCGATATTGATATACTTTGGTTTATTTTGATGAAATAGACATCCACCTGTTGATAAGTAATGTTATCTATGTTTACTTTCTTTAGCAAAATTTGTTTTATTTTTTTTCAGGATTTATGATGGATGCCAATATCAAACCAGCATCACTGGAATTGATGGGTGACGTAGGTCTGAGAGAGGAGGAAGTTTCGTCAGACACAGAAAATCGTAACGATAACGGTACATACCAGTTACTGATAAAATACCAAGACGAGAATCCTGACAATCATGATCAGGTTCTAGGATAAGGTTACATCAATTAATTTTGTTAGAATTGTTTCATACTCGAGGGCAAAATTATTTTTAAATACTTATCATGATGAGCCCCATTACTACAAAATATAACAGATTTCTAACATTTCGACAAAACTATAGGAAAACCACAAGTCAAAGACTCACATATCAAAATATCAAGATTCACAAAAATTACAGAGGTTAAGTCTTATGTCTGTTGTTAGGCATCATGATCCAATCAATCAATCAATCAGTATCTGGTAAAAACATGTACTATTTATAGAAATGATGACCCAGTAAGAGAGAGTTTGTGACCTGTCTCCTGTCTGTCAGTATTTACCCCTCAATTACTCACCATCAACACAAAATTTCCTCACTAGTAAATATCACACAGATTCATATAACATTCAGGAAAACTGTTGATAGTGAGTTTGAAGCTGCTTGGGCACCAACATAATTTTTTCCAGACCACAATTAGGTCCCCCATAAAATTTTTGTTGTCTTGGTAATGTTAATAAGAAGTTGCATTCCTTGGAATCGTAATATTTAAAATTGTTTAAAGATTGACAGGACGAAATTAGATAGGAAACATACACATTTATACCTGTTTTCCTATGTGTTGCAGAGACACAGACATTCTCCTATAACATATATTACTGTCACAAATTTTAAAAATCCAAGCTGATGCATCCTGGTCCAGTAAGATTTAAACAACAAGTTTCTGTTTTGAGCATCTGACCATGAATGTAAAGATAGTAATTGCTCATGAAAGACCTCTTTATATATAATTCATTATGTAAATTAGAATTCCAATTCATTACTTCTATGTTCAATACATTTGTAATTTCTCGTATTTGTAAATTTCGAACATAATTTTGACAATGTGATTAAATGCATATGCTTTTGAAATTAATTCTCAAATACACTTGTACATTTGTCACATAATTTTTCATGGTCATTACTAGGTTTTCAGTTGATGACACACAACTGTTATATAACATGTCCATAATATTTCATTTTTCTGTATTTGTACTCTACAGATGTGTTCCAGTGTGGGAAGTGCGAGCTTCGTTTCCAGTCATCTTACCATCTCCATCACCACATTGCCTACACACATGCTGGCATCTCCATGGAGACATCAGAACGCCTCACCAACCCATACCCTGTGGAACCTCTTGCACTGAATCTAAAGCATTCAAATAGAGTTGACTCACCTATCTTGAACAAGTCATGTGAACCTAGTCCACTGTCCAAAACCTACAGAAGAAGTTCCCAGAGCGTTGCTCTTGATCTTTCGAAACCTTCTTCAAACACAAGTGAAGTCTTGGACTTGTCAACTACAAAATTCAGCTTTAGGGAAGGGGAGGTAACTGGGCAAAGGAAACATCCAAGGGAGGTCAAGCCAAGTGAAAATCCACAAATAAATCGTTCCTATGATTGCACAAGTTTCGAAAAAGAATTTAGGAATGGTTTGGGAAAAGCAACAGCTGATGAGATGGTGAAGAGGGGAAGATTTTTGGTCGATAACCCAGCTCAAGGTGATGATTTTGTGTCTTGTCATGATTCCGAGGGAGGAGATGAAAACAAACTTGTTATTGATTGTTCTAGTGAATCAAACAAATTTTTACGAGAAGAAAAGGAATATGAACCAAGTTTGAAAGAAAGTCAAGCGTCTGTTACAAACAGCCAAGATCAGCTTCCTCAGAGCCATGACAGAGGTCTTACTTGTGATAACTGGCAAAACCAGCACCATCTTAGTCAAGGTCAGCAGCCAGATAACCATGCTTCATTTCCCTCTGTTCAGAGTCAAAGTCACCTTCCTGGTCAAGGTCAAAGTCTCCAGCCAGATAACCATAGTCTAGTTCCCTCTGTTCAGAGCCAAGGTCACCTTCAGGGCCAAGGTCTGCCGGCTGGTTCAGAGTCTGGGAGGTTCAACGCTTTACCGTTTCCATTCAACATCCAGAAGCAAGTTATGATGACGAACGGTGGTGGAGCCTCACCTCCCATATCCAACTACGGAGTGATGTCAGCAGATATGCAGCAGAGTCTGATGTCCTTCCAGCAGCAGATGTCTCCTTTTATGAAAGGCAAACCAGGACCTGTGAAAGCCACAAAGGTCAATCGTCGTGCAAGGGTCAAAGCTGTGGATGTCCAAGAGGACAAAAATAAATCTGTGGTGGAGATATATGAGTGTAAAGTGTGTAACAGGAAGTTCTCCCAGGTTGGTAACTTCCACAACCATATGAAGCTCCACAGCACCAAGATATGTGTATGTGGTATCTGTAAAATAGAGTTTCTTGATAGCTATGAGTTGCAGCGTCATATGCGTAAGACACACACAGGTGACATGCCTTATAAATGTGAACAGTGCGACCGTGAATTCAGCCAATACAACAACCTAAGAAGACATCTTCGTGTACACAATGGAAAGTCATACAAATGTCACATCTGTGGACGTACGTTTAACGAGGTGTTTTACCTGGAGATGCATATTGGCTCTCACACTGGAGAGCGTACCTACAGCTGTGGTGTGTGTAGTCTATCCTTCCGTGACAATGCAGAACTTCAACGACATGTCCAAACGCACAGTGCAGCTGAGCTTCACACTTGCGAGGTTTGCGGGAAATCCTTTAGCAAGGCCTGTGTCTTGCGACAACACAAAAAGATGCATTCAGGTCTCCGTCCTTTTAAATGCGATATTTGCGACAAAGCTTTTATCCATCGTCATCATCTGAAGATTCATTCGCGCATGCACAGCACTGATAAACCATACCGGTGTAAGATTTGTGGGAAGGATTTTGCACAGACAAGTCATCTGTACAAGCATGTCAGACAACATGCACAGAAAACTGATGAAGGTGATGCAGATGTTTGTACACAGGCCGAAATTCAAGCCTTGTATCCAGGGCTTTGTCAAGGCTCGCATGGCTCTCCAAGTCCCCTAACCACATCTGGAGTAAGTGACTTATCACAGTCATCAGGCTCGCCAGTTAACAGCCCAATCACAGAGGGAGATGGTCATGTTGTTCCCTCTGAAACTATCAAGTCAGATGGTGTAGACGACACATTGTCAAAACCACAGCTGTCTGAAAACAGATACAATAATCTGGATGTTAAGAAAGTTGGAAAGAACAAAGTTGATATGAAAACAGTAGATGACGGCTGTGACAATGGTTACAGATGTGATGATGGAATCAATTTGGATCATATTGCTAAGAGGAGGGAGGTAGACTTGATGGATCAGCATCTGAAGGACTTAAAAGGTACAGAAGAGAGTACTGCATCAGACACCATGGAGTCAGATATTGATACAGAGTCAGGAGAATTATCTCCCCTTGAAAATGAGCCGCAGCATGACTACAGACCATTAGATGTTACAGAAAGTATGATGTCAAGGGGAGACAATTATCTCAATCAGTCAGACTTTTCGTGTAAAGACAAAGAGTTGTCTGTACAACGTCACGTTGAAAATGATTTATCAACTTGTGATGACTTTTCTAAACGAATAAAGGAAGAGTGTAGCCAGATGTCTCAGAACATGAGCGACATCAAAGACGAAGATGAAGGGGTCAAGGTCATTAAAGGGGTCACTGGAGCTACATCAGGAAAATTAGTGCTGAAGAAAGAGACTCAAGACAGCAACATTAAACAGAATTATTCAATTGAACATCTTCTTCAGCATTCTACTGACCACTGCAATGATAATGGAAAGAAATCATTCATTAATTCATCACCCACAAGTTATTCCAGTAAACAATGGATTACTGAATCTCGTGTTGAAAACAACCCTAGTCAACATCCCACTGAACCATCAAAATCCTTACACAACACAGAGTCCAGCGTTAAAAATCAGTCGAGTCCCTCTCTGACTGTCCTTGATAACCATCTGAATGCTAATTCTGAAAGGTCATCAAATTGTCTTCACCAGAATTCATTAAGCAAGGAAGGTCAAGGCTATTTAGATCAACAGTCATCACGGTTTAATGAATCTGCTTCTCCAATTAGTTCTGACCATCTGTCTACAGTATCATCACAGGAATCAGAATTGTCAAGGTCAAGGTCATCTAGTCTAGAAAGTGAAGACAAAAGGTCACAGTCATTTAAAATGATGAATATGTTGAAAGGACAGAAAAGTTTCCGAGAGGAAGATGTGACGTCATCTACAGACAAAAACCCTGTTAGTAATAGTTATGAAAAAGCTTACCAAGCAGGAGAAGATAACTCAGGCCATCACAATTTGCACCCGTCATATGAAGTATCTACAGCAACTTATCATCCAGAAACAGTTTTCAACCCCGACAGGTCTTCTCCTCACACCAAACCAAAACAGAAAAGACGCAGGCGTCAAAATAACAAAAACATTCCGCCAGAACAAAATTATCTCCCTTTGATTCCAAATTTAGGAATAGACCCCCAGCAAATGTACTTGTTACAGCTGCATCAGATGCAGATGGCGATGGCCGCGTCGATGGCTGCTGGAGCCCAGATGTATCCATTCCCTGGCAACAGGATGATGTCAACAGGAAGTTTCGATACCAGCATGGCGTATTCTCCTGAAATAAATCACCGAGATTTTAATAGAGAAAGGTCACAGTCACCACAGGTGGCAAGGTCACATGACATTCACAGACAGGGACAAGAAGGCTTGCTCCATCTTCCATCAAATTCACCTCAGAACAAAGAAATCTGTCATTCAGGATCCCCTACGATGAAAAATTTAGCTCCAACAGGTAGCCTGACCTCGTCTCGTGATGAAATGATGAGGTATATGGTGATGAAACAAGAAATGGCAAGTAATGGACATAATTGATTAAATTCCTTACTTGACATGGGCAATCTGAATTAATCAAAAAGACATTTGTAAAGTAATCTACAAGATGTAAACTTAAGTTATACTGTAAACAAATCAGTGACGAAGTTCAATTTTACAGTTCTGAGACACAATGTTGATACAGTTATAATAATCCTTAATGCTCATGTCATTTAATTTAGACAATATACTGTTACTGGTTCCTGACAAATTCTTCTAATTCATAGCAGCAGCTCTAAAATAACGCAGAATGAGTTATTAGTTTTGGGACTTTTTTTGTTTTTTGAGAGAGAAATTGATGAGTTCAGAGTCATTCATGTCTGACAGAATTTTTACACTCGGATGAACCATTGTCTCTATTAGCAAAATGGCAAGGTCAAGGCCAAACTTTCCTATTTATAGAAAATCAGATTTTCTTTTATATCATCAATAACCTAGTGTTGATAATTCTATAACAAGTTTCGTTAACATTTAGCATAGCGTATACAAAAGTCCCAAAGTTAATTATGACACAATTGTAAGTAATCAGCATCACATCACAATTTCAATGAAATTGAAATGCAAAATATATAACCCTACTGAAATACCCCATTGTTTACAAATGTTTCAACACCATTTAAGTGTAAACTTTATTTCTCTTGTTTTTAAAACAACAATCTCAAAATGTTAACTTGTGTTATATAGTATCACATGTAGTACAAATTAATGTTGTTTTAAAAATGCTCATGTAGTGGCATGGTGTCACATTCACATTTCTTAACACAGATAATAATTATATATTTATGAAACTTTGTTTAACGAAGTATTATAAAGTTTTTCAAACTTCAACATTGTCCTCAAAATACTAATTCTAAATTTTGTCCTCTATATTATATACAGAATGTTGGGATGTACATTTATTAGTATAGATATTATGCTTGATGCATAAATTTTGTTGAATATAAATTTGTTAAGTGTTGTTTTAAACTTTTTCTTGAATATTTTATACGTGATTTTTTGATTCGGTATATTTTTGTACATTGCCAGAAAATGTGTTCAAATTTGTTTTGAATGGTTTTATATGCATTTTAAGAAAATGATTAAGTGTTCATAAATGTATGAATACCAGGTACATGAATTAATTTATAAATTTTCATTAAACAATAGATTTTGTGTACCTAGCCTTTTTGATACAAAATATTGTGTTTATTTTCAATGAATGTATTATTCTGTAAAAATGATAATGTGTCTGGGCACTGTTCATGTTTATGTGAATAGGTACTGTGTTCATGGTGTTATATAGGAATAAATACACTGAGTTCATGATTTACTTGAGTATGTACAGAATGTTATTGATGGATGCTGTTGACATTTAAGGATAGACAGTTATGGTAATTATTGATGTATAAATGCAACACACAAGTAGCTTTAGCGTATGAAGGAGGTAGTGTGTATATACTGTAAACATACATAGTTTGGCACAATCAAAGTTTTAGCCAATAATCACTTTTTTGTCCAATTAGCACAAATTTGTGCATCCACAATAATTACCATACAAATGTAAGCAGCATATAGTAAGTGTAATTAACACTAGCATGTTTTAGCAGAATACTTCTAGCTTGAAAGTGCTAAAGTAAAATTAGAGCTGAAATATGTACGTTTACAGTATCCATTGTTACTATCCCTGTATAAATGGGCATGTTTTATGGTGTATATGTGTTAGGTTCAAGTGATTGATGGCTTTGAGGGACGGAAGTTGTGGTGTTCATAATTGTATGAATGCATCAGTATTTAGCATCAGTGGATGTTAAGAACATTAACTTTCATTCTATGGTGTACATGTATGTGCCTGATTCTAGCGAATGAAATATACGTCCTATGACGAGATGTAAAATTGACGTCATGTAGAGTATTTGTGTATATACAAAAGATGTAGATATATTTTAAGATTGTGCCATAGTGTTACTGATACAGACAATATTTGCATGAGGAATAGCGGTATACATCACCCTACCAGTGTCTCACGGAGTAAATGTTTCTGCTGTTCTGCACAACTTATCCTAGTCACATGACTTATACGACCTATTGACCCTGTTGCTGTTCTATTTATAACAATATTTTTCAGCAATATGATTTTTCCAGATGTGAAATATAAACTTGTATTAATGTGTAGACTTCGGTTTCTCAAAATGTTCAATATTTTTCTCCATTTTGTGCCAGAGGTCACTAAATTTCATTGCATTACCTAAGGGTTAAACCCAGGATCTCTTCCTAAACTCAGGTTCTACCATGTGACCTGAAGCTCTAACCAAGTTGGAATGTAAAACTAGTGTTTTACCAATTAACAATTTTTTTTAAAAAGTGGGTAAAGAATTTGGGGTTTTTATTATGCTATGGTTCTGCAGGATTTATTTAATATGGTATTGAATTCTGTTGGTCAGGATGTGTTAAATCTATTTTTTTTCTTCAGAATACATGTACATAATATTTTAGTGAAAAGGGGCAAATTATTATCTCAGTGGGTATTCAACTCACAATTCTGGATTTAATACTAAACAGACAAAGTAATTGTAGGTGAAAACATTTCCTATCAATTTTTATCTGTAGGTGAACATGCGATCAGAATTATATTGAAGGCATAGATTATCCTTGCAGACAGAATATATGTATATGATGTAAAGTCCGTCCTACTTTTCTCATCCCTCCGACTCCAGCATCTCATTTTGAAATTCCTTGTCACCAGAAGTCAGCACTAGCAGTTTTAGACACATTTTTGTTCAATATTGATATATGTGAGTTTATAAACTGTTTATTGACGTTGTCTATGCAAGTATTTTATTATTGTGTTGACCCTTTGTTTTAGGGTACATATTGTTTATGTTTACATTGATGGCAGCCAATGAGAATTGTTTGTGAATTTTCCTAGTTTTGTCTGGGATATGTTTTGCCCTTTAACCCTGGCTAACAGTTTCATGTATTCAATACACCCATCTGTACTTACCAGATCAGTTTTCTACACACTTCATCCTCATAACTTCATCACTACCATTTTCAATCATTTCCAAAATAGCTCAAAGTCTACATTGCAAAACTCCTTTTTATATTTTTTAATATATTTATAACCTGTGTTTCAAAACTTAAGTTACCAGATAAATAACACTTATGTTCAGTAGTTTCGGCTCACTTTATATTGATTTTCTCCATACAAAATCAACCTTGGATTTTTATTTTGCATATATATCTATCAGTAAGCACATGGCTGGAAATAAGCCCACCCATATATATTTCTGTTTTAGTAGAAATGACTACCAAATCTTTATCATTTTCCTTTAATAACTGTAATAAATCCATGATGTTTAAAGGAGATACTGTGAAATCATGTATTTTTGCGGAGTTTAATTTTCATGGTTTTCAAAAATTTTGTAATATCATATACATTTATAATATCATGTACATCTGATTTCATAGATAAAGTTAGATCAATAGATATACTTAGTTCATAGACAAATTAACACATGGATTAATTGTATCCAATAAATCAATGAAAATTATTTGCCCACAAAAATTAATGAGCTTGCAGAAATGTGTGGCCTTGAGCTTATTGTAGACAGATAGAAATTACTAGAGTAAAACATTTCCAGTATTAATAACCATGAAATAATCAGTTACTTATCCTTCAAATCATATTGTATTTCAGTTCATCTCCAAGTCGTGTATTCTACCGCTCTGTCCTCCTGCAATACTGGACTTAATCAGTTGTTCCTTATCCTTACTCTCCTACAATTGGTTTTATACATAATCCATTTGTTTACAATGTCTAAAGTCATTTTCTTTCCCCTGCCCCTCCCTTTAGAAATGTCATACATCTTTTCTCAAACAGTGTCATAAAATATTTTCCTTCTAAGAAATGTCATATATTATTTTCAACCTTTAAAAATGTCATACATCATTTCCCTCTCTAGCAGTGTCATAAAATATTTTTCAAGAAATGTCATCCATTATTTTCTCTATTTTGAAATGTCATTTAATCCATCTGATGTAGGGTCAATTGCAGTGTCATACTTTGCCCAATATAGATAATTTTTTCTCTCATCTCATGTCCTATCATAATTAACCCCCAAATTCACTAATTGGGGGGGGGGGGGGTACTTTTTTTTTTTTTTTTAATTTTATGTTATCTACACCAAATACATTTTCATAAGAAACTATTTTGAAGATGTTTTTTATCTACCATTCGTGTTCAAAAAACTGAAATGCTCAGTTAGAGTTTACAATCTGAGTCTGTGAGACTTAGTGTTATGTTTGTAAGTTTGCCCTATAATGTGTGAATATTGTACTATGATGTATGTGTTTTGTCGAATTGTTTGTTGTATTGTGTTCCAGAAGATGCATTCCAGTTGATTTTATTTCCGAACCACAGACAATTAATTTGATCTCTACTCTGCTTGTAGTTTATAAAACAAGTTTAGGAAGAGATGTACATTATACATAAATTCTTGTTAGGTGCAGTGGATTTCCAGCAATATTTTTAGATGGAAAAGACTGTGGGTGGGATTATGTGGATGGGCGTGCCCACAGGTAAAAATAATCTGGATAGGGGCCACAGGTAAAATTAATGTGGGTGGGGCACAGGTTAAGATGATGTTGATAGGGGGCATAGGTAAAAATAATATTGATGGGGCACAGGTAAAAATAATATTGATGGGGCACAGGTAAAAATAATGTGGATGGGGCACAGGTAAAAATAATGTGGATGGGGCATAGGTAAAAATAATGTGGATGGGGCATAGGTAAAAATAATGTGGATGGGGCATAGGTAAAGATGATGTTAATTGGGGCATAGGTAAAAAAGTGTGGATGAGGGCACAGGTAAATTATGTGGAGTGGGGCCACAGGTAAAAATAATGTGGATAGGGGGGCACATATTAATTATGTAGATGGGGGGGGGCACAGGTAAAATAATGTATGTGGGGGCCACAGGTAACTAGGTAAGGGTAGTAACTACAGGTTAATTGATGTGG